TAGACATACCTCAAAGGAGATATGCTCATTCCCAAGCCGAATCTCAAGTTCCTGACGTCCATCCTTGTTCTTCTGGGGCCATTTGGAGTCATCCTCCCTGCGTCGCATCAGCATCTTTGTACCCCTCCAATCGCCATTGGACTCCACTGCTTGACTCACTTCATGATCTCACTCTCCTTGACAATGCGCTTCACCTCCTGAATCAACGATGCGCTCACGCACACTGTAGTGATAGCCCATTAGCGACCGATGTAGAACCGGACGACCCTTTCCTAGCACTCACTTTCTTTCCGAATCAGAGAATCATTGCGGTAGTTGGAGTTGTTCGCATATCGCACGGCAGCACTGCGGCCATCGCCAAGGGTACGGAAGTCGAACTCTTTAAGGGCTGTTAATAGGGAAGCTCGAAATGGAGACCATCGCGGGGAACCTACCTAGAAACTCATGTCCGAACCGCCCAGAGTGACCTGAGCTGCGGAACTGTCAGCAGCTGAGGAAACCTGGGCCACACACAGATCATCCTTACTAGTAACGGAGGTAGAATGGTTCGTTTTGGGTTGACATCTTTCGTAAACCTCAACCGACAACGTCTGGAATTTGACACGAAAAAGGGAAGCTGGATATGAACGCTTCGTAGCGCGTGCCTGGATGGAATTGCCTGGTTTGCAGGGTTGGTCCAGGCGGGGCTTAGTCATCCACACACTCCGGACAGCTTGCTCCGCCGCGCAAATGGCCAGGTTGATACTCAATGTCCCCGGATTGTCAACATTCGCTCTGATGAATGCTAGGCAGGTGAGGGGAGACAATACACACTAAACTAATTTCCTCTACCATTATCGAATTCTTTTGGGGAGAGTTATTCCAGTCCGTCTTCCCATCCTTCCCCCCTGACCGGCCCAAACAACCACCTGTACTGATGACCGCTTCCAGCTCTCCTCCCTCCTGAACCCTTCCCTGTACCGGCCATTCGTTCGCACCGCTCGATCACCATGGCGTCCTTCCTCGAAAATGCATACAGCTTGGTCCACCTGGACAACACTGCTGATCAGCCCTCTCTGCAGGAGCTGAAGCTGCAGTTGGAAAAGGGTACCGATGAGACCAAGATGGAGACAATGAGGCGGATCATCACAATCATGCTCAATGGCGACCCTATGCCCCAACTGCTCATGCACATCATTCGCTTTGTCATGCCGTCCAAAAGCAAGCCCCTCAAGAAACTCCTATACTTCTACTATGAGATCTGTCCGAAACTCGACGCGAATGGCAAGCTGAAGCAAGAGATGATCCTGGTCTGGTAAGGAACATGGCGCATCCCGACATTGTAGGCCATGCTTTCTAACAAACGATCTTTTTTGCGCAGTAACGGTATCCGTAACGATCTTCAGCACCCCAACGAATACGTCCGAGGAAACACCCTGCGATTCTTGTGCAAGCTCCGAGAACCGGAACTCATTGAACCCCTCCTCTCGTCCGCACGCTCCTGCTTGGATCACCGCCACGCCTATGTCCGCAAGAACGCCGTGTGGGCTGTCGCTTCTATCTTCCAGCACTCGGAGTCGCTGATCCCAGATGCTCCGGAGCTTATCCAGGCGTTCCTCGATACGGAGACCGACGGCACCTGCAAGCGCAATGCATTCGCAGCCCTCATGTCCATCAGCCACCAAAAGGCCCTGGAGTACCTGGCCTCTACCTTCGACAGCATCCCGAACACGGACGAACTACTCCAATTGGCTGAGCTTGAGTTCATCAGAAAGGATGCTGTGCAAAACACTCAGAACAAGGTGGGCTTCCGGAGATCAACCCCGTTGCAGTCGGTTGCTAATTACCAGTAGGCACGGTATCTGCGGCTGATTTTCGACCTTCTCGATGCGTCAACGAGTACTGTCATCTACGAAGCTGCCACTTCTCTTACGGCACTCACCAGCAACCCCGTCGCCGTGAAGGCCGCGGCAAGCAAGTTGATCGAACTTTGCATCAAAGAAGCTGACAATAATGTCAAGCTTATCGTCCTTGACCGAGTCGACCAGCTACGCATCCGCAACGAGGGTGTTCTTGATGACCTTACCATGGAGATTCTCCGCGTCCTCTCTTCCCCGGATATCGATGTTCGTCGGAAAGCCCTTAGCATTGCCTTGGAGATGGTCTCGAGCAAGAATGTCGAAGAGATCGTCATGCTGCTCAAGAAGGAACTGGCCAAGACTGTTGATGAACAATATGAAAAGGTAGGCTCGCACGGTCGGCTCGTGATATACAGAAATGCTAACAACCTTGTAGAACAGCGAATACCGTCAATTGCTGATCCAGTCGATACATAACTGCGCCATCAAGTTCTCGGAGATCGCGGCTAGCGTTGTCGATCTTCTGATGGACTTCATCGCTGATTTTAACAACAACTCCGCCGTTGATGTGATCTCGTTTGTCAAGGAGGTCGTGGAGAAGTTCCCCGCGCTCAGAACTTCTATCGTTGATCGCCTGGTTTCTACATTGAGTGAAGTCCGTGCCGGCAAAGTCTACCGGGGTGTTCTGTGGGTTGTTGGAGAATACTCTCTGGAGGAGAGAGATATCCGCGAAGCTTGGAAGCGGATCAGAGCCAGTCTCGGCGAAATCCCCATCCTTGCCTCGGAACAGCGACTTCTTGATGAAGTACCTGAGGATGCGGCGCTCAAGGAGCAGGTCAACGGCCACTCCAAGCCGTCAGCCCCAACCGGATCACGGAAGGTGCTGGCCGATGGCACCTATGCCACCGAGAGTGCTCTGACCAGCCAGTCTGCAGCGGCTGCTCGGCTTGAGGCTGTCAAGGCCGCTCAGAAGCCCCCTCTTCGTCAACTGATCTTGGATGGCGACTACTACCTTGCTACTGTGCTTTCGTCCACCCTTACTAAGTTGGTGATGCGCCATTCGGAGGTCTCCGAAGATGTTGCTCGGACCAACGCCCTGCGTGCAGAGGCGATGCTCATCATGATCTCCATCATCCGTGTTGGCCAGTCGCACTTCGTCAAGGCGCCCATTGATGAAGACTCCGTGGATCGCGTCATGTGCTGTGTGCGCTCGCTTGCAGAATTCTCTCAGAAGAAGGAATTGGAGACTACCTTCCTGGAAGACACCCGGAAAGCCTTCCGCGCCATGGTTCAGGTCGAAGACAAGAAGAGGGCCGCTAAGGAGGCCGTTGAGAAGGCTAAGACTGCCGTCCAGGTTGACGATGCCATCCCCATCCGGCAGTTCACCAAGAAGGCAGCTCTTGAAGGTGCTGAGGAGATTGAGCTGGATCTGGCCAAGGCCACTGGCGGTGACTCAACTGTGGAGACGGTGTCCTCGAAGCTGAGCCGTGTTGTGCAACTCACTGGTTTCTCGGACCCGGTATATGCCGAGGCTTATGTCACTGTTCACCAGTTCGATATCGTTCTGGATGTGCTTCTGGTCAACCAGACCCTTGAGACCCTGCAGAACCTGAGCGTTGAGTTTGCGACTCTCGGGGACCTCAAGGTGGTGGAGCGGCCCACGACACACAACCTTGGACCTCGCGATTTCTTGAATGTGCAGGCTACAGTCAAGGTGTCGTCGACGGACACGGGTGTGATTTTCGGTAACATTGTGTACGACGGGGCGAGCTCGACGGAGTCGCATGTTGTTATCCTCAATGACATCCATGCCGACATCATGGACTACATCCAGCCGGCACACTGCACTGAGACGCAGTTCCGGACGATGTGGACCGAGTTTGAGTGGGAGAACAAGGTTAACATCAACTCCAAGGCGAAGAACCTCCGCGAGTTCCTCAAGCAGCTGATGGAGAGCACCAACATGGCATGCTTGACACCTGAGGCGTCTCTCAAGGGCGACTGTCGGTTCCTGAGTGCCAATCTATATGCCCGGAGCGTATTTGGTAAGTACTAGATCTATATGCTGCGACTTTCAGCCCACCTCCGTCTTTTGGATAGCTGCTAACTTGATTGTCACAGGTGAGGATGCCCTTGCGAACTTGAGCATCGAGAAGGAAGGAGAGGACGGGCCGATTACCGGCTTTGTACGGATAAGAAGCCGTTCTCAGGGTCTGGCCTTGAGCCTGGGGTCTTTGAAGGGCCTTAAGGCGTCTACAGCATGAATAGAGAAACCCCCTTTGAGCCGTATTTGAATAGCCACTACCCTTGTTACCTACTACATGACTCTTCTGTTCGATTTTCGACTGCGCTTTTTTTTTCTATTTTAACTTTTCTGTGTTCTTCTTAATGGACGAATTTGTTGACTATATGCACCTTTTACTCTGTTTATTCTGGATGAGAAAAGACTTTTTTATCTCTCAATGGAATGCCCCATTTGAATGACTCTTATTTTATTTTTATTGTATGTATGTGTGTATGTATGTACCACCATGGCCAGCTATGTTCACAGTAGGAGGAAGGAGGTTTCTTGGAAGCCGTCATGGACTTGCCCAAGCTCACCTGTACCACGTTGATGGATTAAGCACGATGCATACCATCCCCGCACACCCCGCAGGTGATGCCTCGGAACTGTTGCTGCAACTATCCGACTCCGGATGTCACGGAGGCCATTATTCCGAGCAACATCGGCTTTATTTAGACGAATGTATGAGAGTGGCGAGAGTCCTTCGAGGATCAAATCAGACCCCAAAATAGTGTGAATATGGGCGCGGAAGTAACTGGGCACGTGCCTTAGATAAGGATGGATGCTTGCGGCGATCTCCGCAGGGCATACAGTGGCAGGTTCTCTAAGAATGACCGGAAACCCATCAGATCCAGGCATGCATCATGTATGGGTTGGACTCAAAAAGAAAAGGTGTTCCTGTCATGGCATGATGAGGTGCAAGTCATTGTCCTGAGAGCCTATCAATTTTACCGGGCAGACAAGTGGAGTGGAAAAGAAGTGGAGCCCGCCATAAAAGTTGGACTGCCGATATTGATTATCGAATAATGTGAATGGATGGATGGTTCAGTGGTTCTCCGAGTCTCCGGTCTTTCTCCGCTCCATCCTGAGACTTGCCCGTTTCATTCCCCCAACACCTTCCTTCTCCTCGTCTCAAACTCTTTCGTTTCCTTCGTCTTTCTCTTATTATTATTCTTATGGTTAGTCTTACTGACCACGCTCACTTCTACGCATCTATCTTTCCTCATCCTTAAATACGGTCGGCTCTTCTCATCCACGCTGTGCCCTCCGCCGGGCACTATGACCACCTCCAACGGGCCTCCTCGCCCGTCGTTTAACAACGCGGATCACCCGGAAACTCGGGATCAGCTGCTTGAACATGATGCGACTCTGATAGTCTCCAACTCGGTCTCTCTGACCATTGGAGGCGACTCTCTTTTGATTGTCGGTAAGTCTCAGTGCGCAATTGCTCTTCTCGAGTTCCTCACCAAGTTTCCTCGTCTTAACGAATTACCGGCATTCGCGCAGATGAACGTTCCATGCGCAAAGCCGAGCGTGGGTGTTGCGGCATCGCCAGCAAAACAGCCAAGCCCACTCACTCCATTGCACTTTACAATGTCTTGGACGCCGACCTGTCGCCCGAGGGCCTTACTATCACTTATGCGGAGCCGGCCTCCAAAGAGGATGTCTCCGTGTCCGCCCTGCGATACCCGTTCGCACCCGAAGAAAAGGCTGCGGTAGAATCCTGGATGAACAAACTCCTGTCCGTTGCGTATGGCACCGCCAAACGATACAAGAGACTCAAGGTTCTAGTCAACCCGTTCGGTGGTCAAGGCCACGCGGTTAAATTGTACACCTCGTATGCAGCTCCCGTCTTTGCTGCAGCCCGCTGCCAAGTGGACGTGCAGGAAACAACGCATGGAGGCCACGCCGTCGAGATTGTGGAGCAACTGGATATCAATGCATATGACGCCATCATTTGCTGCTCCGGAGATGGTTTGCCGTACGAGGTTTTCAACGGTCTCGCGAAGAAACCTAATGCCGGTGAAGCTTTAGCTAAAGTTGCCGTTGCAATGGTGCCTTGTGGGTCCGGAAACGCAATGGCCTGGAATCTTTGCGGAACGGGCAGTGTCTCAGTGGCGGCTTTAGCCATCGTAAAGGGTATCCGGACGCCTATGGATCTGGTCTCAATCACGCAGGGGAAGACTCGCACGCTGTCCTTCCTGTCACAATCCTTCGGTATCATCGCGGAATCCGATCTCGGCACGGATGATATCCGATGGATGGGCGCTCACCGTTTCACCTACGGATTTCTCAAGCGCATCATGCGCCGCGCAGTGTATCCGTGCGATCTGGCAATCAAAACCGTGATGGATGATAAACAAGCGATCAAAGATCACTACAGTGCTTACGCGCAGAGCCAGCCTCCTAGTCGTCTGGATGAGGATACTGCAGAACAGCCAACCGGGCTTCCCGAGCTCGCGTACGGCACCGTGCAAGACGAGCTACCCAAGGACTGGGAAGGTATTCCAGCTGAGAATCTCGGTAACTTTTATGCGGGCAAAATGGCCATCGTGTCCAAGGATACGAACTTCTTTCCTGCCTCTTTGCCCAACGATGGTCTGATGGATATCGTCACCATCGACGGTACTCTCAGTCGTCTGACCACGCTCAAAATGATGACTGCCATCCCTGAAGGCGAATTCTTCGATATGCCCGACGTCAAAATCCGCAAGGCTCTTGCGTATCGGCTTGTGCCCCACGAAAAGAAAGGCTACATCAGCATTGATGGAGAAAGCATTCCTTTTGAAGCTTTCCAAGTAGAAATCCACAAGGGTTTGGGCACTGTGCTGTCGAGGTCGGGACACCTATACGAAGCCGAAGGACCCAAACCTTAGACGTTGGGGATGATACAAGCGAAAAAAAAAAAAACGTAGCGGGTGGTACTTTGGATGTCATCGTTTCTTTTCTCTTCATTCTGGTCTTCGCACTCTAATGATACCCTGGCGCAAGACTTTTTGTTTTGGCTTGCTTTACTCTCGTTTCAATTGGGGTCATGCTTTCTGTATACTAGACAGCAGTGCAACCAAGACGGTTGCATAGCCCATAGAGTCATATAAATATATACATTGTTTCATTCACATGAATATGTAATAGTTAGTCCTAACCCGACTTAGATCAGCCCGGGAGGCTAATCAATACAAGCATGCGCACGCTGCCGTCCAATTCACAATTCTATACACTTTTGATCAAACAGAAAAAAAGAGAAGAGCCATTAGAATTTATACACATAGATATGAAACACCTCAATCAAACCCATCCCACTCCTCATCACTACTCTCCTCCACCACCTTCCTCTCCTTAACCCCCCACTCAACCAACCGCTCATCATCCAACGTCTCCGCAGCCCGAGTCCGCACAGGCTTATACCCACTCTCCTTCTTCAACTTCTCAATCGGCCTCAACAAAAGCTCCATCGGCACTCCGCCCTTGATCTTCTTCGTCTGTTGCCCTTCCTCCGCCCCTTCAATCTCCTCAAACTCCAACACCTTCTCCAACTCATCAATCCACACATCCATCACATGGTACCGCAATCCGTCCGGCCCATGCGGCATCGGCACGTAATCCTCCTTCTCGTTCATGGGCGGTTGATCCGGGTCGAAGTTCAAGGGGCACAGGGGTCCTTCTTCGATGATGTTGATGTAGGATTCCAGGGCTGTCCAGTCTTGGGGTTCGGTTGATGTCGTTGACTCTTCGGATTGTTGTTGGGTTTCTTGTTGTTTCTTGTTCTTGTTCTTGTTGTTCTTCTTGTTCCGCTTCGAGGATGTAAGTTCTTCTTCTCTTTTGCGCTTGCCGCCGTTTGTGGATGTGGCGGAGGATGTGGTGGTGGATTGGGGCTTGAGGAGCACCTCGAATGCAACGCCCACGTAGCAACGGATCAGGAATAGGTACTTGTCTAGACGGAGACGGTCGAGCGAGTGGAAGTCCCGGCCGATGGTTATCCAGAAGGCGCGGAGGAAGCGGTGCAAGGTGCTCCGGGGGAGGGTTGGGACGAGGCTGTAGCTGAGAGTGCGGGCGAGGGCTTGTTGCGTTAGGGGACGGTCGGAGTGGTAGAAGCCTGTGGTTTGGTGGTGGTTAATTGGGAATAGGGGAAGAGGGTGGATTTGGGGGCGTGGCGTACAGAAGAATAGACCCTTCCACAGTTTGAGGAGGTCGATGAGGGAGAGGTCGGTTTTGCTGCGGAGAAAGAGTGTGAGGGAGTCGGTGGCTTTGTCGCGGATTTTCTTGTCTGTGAGTTTTTTACTTCGTTAGATTTGGTTTTTCTTGGAGGATATGATTGATGAATGGGAGGGAGGGGTATGTACCGCTCGAGGCGAGATCCCGTACGAAGGGAGTCTTGGTCACGTCGGACATGGTGGTGGTTTCTCGAGTCGAAATTGATTCGAGTATAGTATGTCGGGTACTTGGTTTCTAGGTATGTGGTGTTCGCGGTAGCGAGGCGATTGATGTGCCTGCGCTTTTCAGAGTGTGGACTTCCTTGGTGGTCTCTGGACAATGGTGGTTCGAGAGAGTCCTTGAGATTGATGAAGCTATTCGTAACTTTTTTTTTCTTTTTTGGAGATATTTTCTGTTTGCACTGTTTGACTTGTAGTGTGGTTTGATTGGTTGGTTGTTTTTGGATGCCGGTTGTGGTGGGGCTGGTGTGGGGAAGGCGATGGACTATTGTTGATCGGGTTAGCAAATCATCTACTATCTATGTAGATATCATGGCGATTTTGGGATGAGGTATATATGCGTCTAAAGGAGGGAGGAAGGGATGGATACAGTGTCTATAAAGAGACTCTAGATGGTAGGATTTAGTTTGTAGAGTATATGGCTCTTGCTCGCTTGAAGAGCGTTCCTGCCTATCTTAGTATCATATCAATATTCGCTCTTTCCATTTGCCGGTCCTAAGAGGAAGGCCCATATTCTCTCTTGTCTTCTTCCCCCCCTTCCTTTCCCTTCTCATCTCCTCTTCCTCTTCAACTAAACGCTTCAATTCGACTCTTCAACTCGACACTTCATTGACCTGTTGGTATGTACAGCCTGATTATCACTGAGCTGAGGTCTTGGTCTTGTTATCAAGTCATAGTTCTAACTTGCTATAGAACCACCACCATCATCAACAACAACGACGACGACGACGACGACGACGACGACGACGACGACAATAACAACAACAACCTCATCACTACCACCATCACCGTCACCGTCACCACCGTCAGTCGCCAACGACGACAACAACAACTACGGTAACAGAGGCACAAGCTTGTTGAGTATCTACTACTCCTCGTTTCTGTCAGACACTGATGCTTTACAGGTCATCCATTCATAGCTACTGGCTAGCGAGAAAGTCACTGACGACACGATAGTTACGACCAGGGTGATCACCAGTATCTATCCGGACCCGCAGCATCGGAACGCCTTGTTGCTGCGAAGTGCATCCCACTGTGATTGCAAAGCCACTCAGCAACGAGGCCATTGCTGTGCCAGAGTGGTGCACTGGGCTGGGCTGGGCTCACGCTCGTCGCCCTGCCCCCCAGGCGGTCCCTGATAACGCCGACATTGCCAGAGGCGCTGACTACTGGCCCAGGCTCAGGCTTGGGCCAATTCTGTGGTCAAGTGCCTCTGTAGATATTGATAGCTTTAGATAGCTTTTCTCCTTAGCTAGCTTGTATCTTTAGGTAGCTTGTATCTTTAGATAGTCTGTAACCTTAGATAGTCTGTATCTTTAGACAGCCTGTATCTTTAGCTAATTTGTATCCTTAGCTAGTTTGTATCTTTAGATAGTTGTATCCTTAGATAGTCTATCTTTAGCTAGTTGTATCTTTAGATAGGTCGATAGCTTAGATAGGCCGATGAAGCTATCTCAGCATAGTGGAGGCACCAGAACAATGGCCGGGCACCTTTACGTGGTGTTCTGGATAAGTAGGCCGGTTCGAAAGAACCTGCTGAAACCAAGACCCGGCCACTTAGCGTAGTTTTATCCATTCGGTGATGGGCTGCAGGCAGAATAATGGTCCGTTGTTTGATTACCTGGCGTTATTCTTAGTATCTTAAGTCATTCGCATTGTATAAAAATCTGATCATTCCTACCCGCCTATTCCGGTAACATCTAGCCGTCCAATGGAGATTATTGGTAGATTATCAACCCCAGACCTGCAGTGGTCTAAAACCCTGCATCTTACGATTTGATGTCCGACAGTTGGAACTTGAGCTTCTCGGACTATATTATTCTAAGCTAAAGTTCCTGCGCATAATTTTTCAATACAAATAGTATGCCCGATGCAAACTCAATGTGTGGAGGGAAAAACGAAAACCACGCATCTTCCGCATCTTCCGCATCCGGATAGTCACATCCCAGGCCCTCCAGGGACGGAACCACAGCTCAATTTCCAATTAGCAGCTCTCCCAGCTCTTCCCTTGCTCTTGTTTTCTCCACTGCTTGACTTGAGGGCGTCGAATAACAGCATCATTGGGAATCAATGGCTTCCCCGGTCTCCCGTCGTTACACGGAAGGTTACGGGTGACATCATCACTTCAACGTGCACAAATGGAAACATCGAGCGTCCTGAATCTTATTTGCATCCCCCAAACTCTTTTGTCAGTGAATGATGTCGGCAAAGCGAAGATCCGTCTTCAATTGAGGGAAACTGGCCATGGGAGGAAGGTACGCGCTACCCAAATCCTGACAGGCTATTTGCTCACCTGAACTTCCTGAAATTTTATCACACCCCCGTTTGGTGCTCTTAAGGCCAATTTTTCATCAAAAGATTCTGCTCTCCTTTGTCTTTTACGGAGGGCTCTACCCTTGTGTCCTGCTCTAGCCTGCCAACAGCCTCGTCTTCAAAGATGGCGCAGCTTGAGGAGCCCGACGAGAGCTCGCAGCTCAGCTCCTCTAAATATGAGGAATTGGCTTCTGGGCCGAGCAACTCTCAAAGACCACCGCGATTGACGCGCAATGAAAGCTCCTTCGTGGAGAATATGGACCCTGAGCAAAAGGCTGAATTGACCCGCTTGGCTTCCAATTTTCCAAGGCGCCAGAGCACTCTCGATTCGACTGTCGATGGACCGGTTGAACGAAAGGACACCCTCGAAGGGCTGGAAATGGGCGACCCAGTCCTTGATCCCACAAATGACCAATTCGATCACTACAAATGGGTTCGCATGGTGCTGAAGATATTGGACAGGGAGGGAATCCCTCGACCTCCTTCGACTGGTGTAGTCTTCCAACATCTTAATGTCTCAGGCTCAGGTTCCGCCCTACAATACCAGAACAACGTGTCTTCAATTCTTCTCGCCCCTTTCAGACCGCAGGAGTACCTGCCTTGTGTGCAGCGCACTCCGGAAAAGCATATCCTGCGTGACTTCGATGGTCTACTTAGAAGTGGTGAGCTTTTGATTGTTCTGGGACGCCCTGGGAGTGGCTGTTCAACTTTCTTGAAGTCTTTATGTGGGGAACTTCATGGCCTAAAGCTCCGCAAAAGCTCTGAAGTCCAGTTCAATGGTATCTCCATGGAGAAGATGCACAAAGAATTTAAGGGCGAGGTGCTTTACAATCAGGAGGTGGATAAGCATTTCCCGCATCTCACTGTCGGTCAAACGTTGGAATTTGCCGCCGCTGCGAGAGCGCCCGAGAACCGAGTGCAAGGCGTTACTCGACAGCAGTATGCTAAATACGTTACCCAGGTCGCGCTGACTATCTTTGGCCTGTCACATACGTATAACACAAAGGGTGCGTCTCTATTGTCGAATGCCAAGCCGCTGAATGTTCATTATATACCTAATGCTACCTCCAGTTGGCGATGACTATATCAGGGGTGTATCAGGAGGCGAACGAAAGCGAGTTAGGTATGCTTTATCCTGGATCTGTCTTCTCGAATTGACCTAACCTGTCTGCAGTATTGCTGAGATGGCGCGTGAGTCACCATGCCACTTCAAGAGTATAGCTAGCGGTTCAGTTGACATGCTTCATAGTCTCCGGGGCACCTGTCGGGGCATGGGATAATAGTACTAGAGGCCTCGACTCTGCAAGTGCTCTGGAATTCGTCAAGGCTCTACGGGTTTCAGCAAACTTAGCCGGTACCTGCCATGCAGTCGCGATATATCAAGCATCCCAAGCAATATACGATGTGTTTGACAAGGCAATCGTTCTGTATGAGGGTCGCGAGATATACTTCGGGCCATGCGACGAGGCAAAGGAATATTTCGAAAACATGGGGTGGCTTTGCCCGCCGCGTCAGACAACGGGTGATTTTTTAACATCAGTCACCAACCCCCAGGAGCGTCAAGCACGTGAAGGAATGGAGAACAAGGTTCCTCGGACACAAGATGATTTCGAAAAGTACTGGAAGAACAGCCCTCAGTATGCCAGGCTTCAGCAGGAAATCGAACAGCACATGAAGGAGTTTCCGTTAGGTGGAAAGCATGAGCAAGAGTTTGGTGAAATGAAGCGCCTGAAACAAGCGCGACATGTTTGGTCAAAGAGTCCCTATATTATTTCGATTCCCATGCAGGTAAAGCTTTGTACTATTAGGGCGTATCAAAGGTAATTGCTGCTACATTTCGTTTGTCTGTGAAGGAACTGCTGACCCTTATAGGATCTGGAATGATAAGCCTTCCACACTGACAAACGTCATTGGAAGAATTGCAATGTCTCTTATCATCGGCTCAATGTATTTTGGGTAAGGCTTTCATTCTCTGCGGCTCGAACTTAAGCTAAAACATCCAGAACACCGAATGCCACTGTGGGCTTTCAAAGCAAAGGAGCTGCTCTTTTCTTCGCTGTGCTGTATGTTACCCAGAATGACATGAATAAGTTCTTCTCCCAGACAGCGGCTACCGTACAACCAGAGGATGAATTGGAGAATATGCTAGCTGACTGCATCTTAGGATGAACGCTCTCATCAGCATAACAGAGATAAACTCGCTTTACGACCAACGGCCTATCATTGAAAAACAAGCATCATACGCTTTTGTCCATCCTTTTGCTGAAGCATTTGGTGGCATTGTGTCCGATATACCCGTCAAATTCGTCTCTGCTGTGGTGTTCAACATCATCTTTTACTTCCTAGCTGGCTTGGTAAGTACATACAATGACTCGGGTGGACGTGGGCACAATATTGACTATGACGATAGCGTTACGAACCATCCCAGTTCTTTATATTCTTCCTGTTTACTTTCCTAAGTACACTTGCGATGTCTGGCATCTTCCGGACCCTTGCAGCCTCAACGAAGACACTTGCACAAGCAATGGCTATGGCTGGCGTCATCGTATTGGCCATCGTCATCTACACCGGGTTTGTAATACCTACACCTCAAATGTCCTCTATTCCATGGTTCAGTTGGATTCGATGGATCAACCCAGTTTTCTATACCTTCGAGGCTCTAATTGCCAACGAGTTCCACGGCCGACGCTTCACATGCTCACAGTTCATACCATCATATCCGACGCTGACTGGTGACTCTTTTATCTGCTCCATTCGTGGCAGTGTTGCGGGTGAAAGGACCGTCTCTGGAGATGCTTACATCGAAACTCAGTACAACTATACGTATGCACATGAGTGGAGAAATCTCGGGATCCTCATAGGGTTCTGGATCTTTTTCACTGTGGTATACTTGATCGCAACAGAGCTCAACTCGGCAACCTCGTCTAAAGCTGAGTTTCTTGTATTCCGGCGAGGCCATGTCCCTCCCCACATGCGCGGCCTCGACAAAAAGCCCCAGGGAGATGCCGGGGCTGGTAGTGTTGCCGTGGCCCACAGATCCGCCGAATCAGAGAAGGATGCATCTGCTCTTCCCGAACAGCATAGTATATTTACGTGGAGAAATGTTTGCTATGATATTCCCGTCAAGGGAGGCCAGCGACGTCTTCTGGACAATGTCTCTGGATGGGTCAGGCCTGGAACGCTCACAGCTTTGATGGGGGTGTCAGGCGCCGGGAAGACTACCTTGCTTGATGTCCTGGCAAAACGTGTTTCGATAGGCGTTGTTACAGGCGACATGCTCGTGGACGGAAAGCCACTTGACAGTAGCTTCCAAAGGAAGACGGGATATGTACAACAGCAGGATCTGCATCTTTCTACAACAACTGTCAGAGAAGCTCTGCGCTTCAGCGCACTTCTGCGCCAACCTAAGTCAGTTTCCAAGAAAGAGAAGTATAAACACGTTGAAGAGGTTATTGAAATGCTTAATATGCAGGACTTTGCTAGTGCTATTGTCGGAACACCTGGTGAAGGTCTAAACGTGGAGCAGAGGAAACTACTGACAATTGGTGTGGAGCTTGCCGCTAAGCCCGCGCTTCTGATCTTTCTTGATGAGCCAACTAGTGGGCTGGACTCACAAAGCTCTTGGGCTATTTGTGCTTTCCTCAGGAAGCTCGCAAATCATGGCCAAGCAGTGCTCTCCACTATTCACCAGCCCAGTGCGCTATTGTTTCAGCAGTTCGATCGCCTCCTCTTCTTGGCAAAAGGAGGGCGGACGGTTTACTTTGGAGATATAGGAGAGCAGTCACAAACCTTACTGACATATTTTGAGTCAAATGGTGCAAGGCCATGTGGACCGTCAGAAAATGTAAGTGCTCTAATGACCGTGTGATGCCTTATGCTGATGATGAAAAGCCCGCCGAGTATATGTTGGAGATTATAGGTGCCGGTGCCTCTGGCAGAGCTACCAAGGACTGGCCAGCTGTTTGGAACGATAGCCAACAGGCCAATGATATTCAGAAAGAAATTGATCGGATTCACCAAGAGAGAGCCTCTGCCCCTGAAACTGGCAATGACGATGCGCAGAAAGGAGAATACGCCATGCCGTTCCCCAATCAGCTGTGGCACGTAACCCATCGTGTCTTCCAGCAGTATTGGCGTGAACCTTCCTACGTATGGTCCAAGCTTATTCTGGCTACTGCTGCCTCCTTGTTCATCGGTTTCACATTCTTCAAACCCGATAACAACATGCAAGGGTTCCAGGATGTCCTATTCAGCGCCTTTATGCTCACTTCGATTTTCTCAACTCTGGTGCAGCAGTAAGTACTTCGTACTACTTCTTTCGATAACAGGCTAATGAGGTTTCAGGATAATGCCAAAATTTGTGGTTCAGCGGTCACTCTACGAGGTGCGAGAAAGACCCTCCAAAGCGTATTCATGGGCAGCATTCCTTGTCGCCAACGTTCTGGTCGAGATACCCTACCAAGTTCTCGCCGGAGTCATTGCCTATGCGTGCTACTACTATCCAATCTACGGAGCCAATCAGGCATCTCACAGACAAGGGCTCATGTTACTCTTCGTCGTACAATTCTACATGTTCACCTCGACGTTTGCCGCTTTGGTAATTTCCGCGCTGCCTGATGCCGAAACAGGAGGTTCCATCGCCACGCTCATGTTTATCATGGCTCTGACGTTCAATGGTGTTATGCAGTCACCCCAAGCACTGCCAGGATTTTGGATCTTCATGTACCGGGTCTCTCCACTGACCTACCTGATTGCGGGTATCACGGCAACTGGGTTACACGGACGGTCGATTCAATGTTCCAGCGAGGAGATGAGCGTATTCAATCCTCCCTCTGGTCAGACCTGTGGCCAGTACATGGCTCAGTACTTGCAAACTGCTGCGGGGACACTATCTAACCCAGCAGCGACTCAAGGATGTCAATACTGTCAGCTGCGGAATGCCGATCAATACCTTGCAACAAGTGAAATCTGTACGTTCATGTATTCCCATTTGCCCTTTACCTTTCACGTCTGCTAACGAATCTAAAGACTACAGCCAGCGCTGGCGGAACTTTGGAATAGGATGGGCATACGTGGGGTTCAACATCATGGGTACAGTCGCCTTGTACTACATGTTCCGGGTCAAGCACTACAACCCCACTAGTCTAGTTAGAGGCGTAGTACAGGGCGCAAGGGTGGTCTGCCGCGTGTTCAAGAGACGATCCGGACAGACGCCCAAGGGGAGAGAAGCCGAAAACGGAAAATTGTTCTAGGGTTCTAGAAGGGATAAGCACGATCTTCATGTCGCGGGATATTACAGTTAGGTTTTATTGTCAGCATTTTTGCTGACTATTTGTCTCAGCATATTTTATGCTTTTCATGAAATATAAAACACAATTGTTCAATAATTGGCAGTCATACCGAGTTACATTGCTTGTACGTATGTGCTAACTCATCATGAATGAACAATTCTGCATATCATCAAGTCTGTCCTTGATAGAGGCTAATAAAGGGAAATAAAACAAGTAGCGAATCAGATAACGCAATGGTCCGCAGCTCAAGCATCATTGGTCTAGTGGTAGAATTCATCGTTGCCATCGATGAGGCCCGTGTTCGATTCACGGATGATGCACAGACATTTATTTCTTTTTGCTTTTATTCGCTTTCCTCTGCTTCGTTGCTTAGATTCATTTTTCTTTTTCTTATTTCTTTCTTTCTTTTGGGCCTCTTTCTTTCCATTGACAATACACATATATAGCATCCTCATCTCGTTGAGCTTGCTGCTAGTTTGCGTGGGGCATCGAATCCATCCTTTAGTGGGGAGATGGCTCAGCACGGTTATATATACAACCCGCTAAAGCATTGGCAATGGTTCCCAACTAAACAAGCTAATGAAGTGCTAAGTACTAAACGGATCGTGATTTGTAGTTGATACACCGATTGATGGATGGTATTAGGAGGGCTCATTATCCGAGATAAAGAAATATTAGAATAACAGTACTACTTACTGCAGGGTAGGAACCATGTACAGATGGGAGGACAAATTTACTATCATTACTGGGTAACTAGTGGTTTTTTTTAGGAGGTATTGTTAAGTGTGAGGAACTATGTAATTCTTAATTAAGGTAATAAGTAAGTACTAGACAAGAAGGAACATTCCATCATAAAGGAGGAAAAAGCCATGTAATCGATCAATCAAACGAACACTAATTGGGGTATTGTGCGGAACCAAACAAATAGGATATGGACGTGAAAACAGACATGATTGAAGTGATGATGCCTTTGCATCTGGGAATGAGGAGTGGGAAGGTTAGGTTTGGGTGGGGAGAAAAAGTTAGGTATGCCAATTCGATGGCAATGCTGTCGTGCGATAAGTCGGTGGTTAGGTTGGGGTATCGGTGTATTATTATCATTAAGTGAAAAGTTAGTCGGCCGGACGGACGGACGGACGAGGTGAGGTGAGGTGAGGTGTGTTGTATGGCGCCGTGTTGTGTTGTTACTTTGTGCAATATCAGACCGTAAATCAAACTGTGCATTAGGTGGATCGGTCTCTGCAGGTTGTTCATGCAGGCAGGCTGTGAGGTTGCATGTGAGCTATCGCAGCCACGAAACTGTCAGGACACCGATTGTCGTGGGACAACGAGGGCGCTGATAACGTGGGCGGAATTCCATCCCTGGTCGACTAGAGGCACATGTTCCTTGAGCATTCTGCCTAGGTAGACGAGTCTCACACGGTGAGTGCGCGGAATCTATACAATCGCTGGTGTTAGTACTTCATGTTCAATTCCGATTTGTGAGGGATCTGGGATTGAATTGCAGCTGACGTACCCCTGCCTCTTGTTGCACTTTACGGGCTATCAAGCCGACGTTCATGGTCTTCACCACTGACAGGACGATGTCGGGACCGCCTCTATCGCTCAATCGCGCACGAATGCGGATAAGATCACGCTCGCTAGTCTTGCCCTTTTCGTCCCGACGACGTTCGATGTCATCGGCTATTAATTCATCCCCGGAGGCTTCGTCTGAAGATAGCTTGCCGTCATCCGTATCGAAGTCATCGGGCTCCTCGTCGGATCGCACGATATTCTCTGGGTCGCTCACAATGCACTGTGGTAGCCGGTAGAGTACACCTTGCTCGTCGTAACAGCCTTGGCAGAGATCACCGGTGGGGACGGTGATGCCGGCTGCATCAATGAAACTCTGCGCTGTTGCGAGATCACCGGCGCGCATTAAAGATATGGCCGCAGACAAAGCCGCCCAGATCTCTGAACGACCCGTGACCCTGGTTTCGAAGAACTCGGTGCGCTCCTGGTCCAGTTGTGTGCGGGTCCATAGGCGCCGTTTGCTATACCAGACGTGACGACGGATAGGCGCATTGTAATGCTGGTTCAGCGGGAAGTGTTCTGCCCTGATTCGGGATCCGCGCGCCCTTGTAGATGAGTTGCCGGAAGTGAGCGCATTGCTTGTTGCGGCAGCTTGGGGATGAGAGTCTTCGGGACGGCGCTCTTCGGTAACTACCTGCGCTGCATAGGAAGGACGGCTATTGTCGCGCGATATAGAAAAGCAACAACCCTATGATTTTCAAAGATAGTGAGAATTTGAAACCCGGAATGTCATGTACAAGGACTAGGTGGAAGAGAGCGGAGAGGGTTGGCTGTATAGAGAGGACTTTTGTGATGACGGATAACAGGACGGGTTGGCATACGACTCCGCATCGGGAAAATGTATAGGGTGCCGACATGGAGAAATCAAGGAGAACAGGAGGGTACTTCCAAGACTCACCATGTTGAAGAAACAAGCTCAAGCTCCATCAGCCAAAGACAACCAGTCGCCAGAACCGACGGGGGTCAGTGGTCAGGGAAAGTCACTGCAGGAACGCAGTTGGAGATGACCAGATGAGGAGGGGTGTGGAGGGGGGGGGGGGGGTTAGAAGATGTGGTTCACGATGCCGGCGGGGGAAGAGCTTATTAGACCAGCCTAGTTCTAATGAGCCGTTCCTATCATAAATGGAGGATCCTCGCATCCAGTTATCGCAATCGGTCGTATGACCCGAAGCGGTGGAAACCCAGTTGCTGAGTGGTGGCGGCGAAGCGGAGAGCTGCAGCGCAATGGCCTGACCAGCCACGATGCAGAGGCACAGAGTGGAAGAAAGAGAAAGAGAGTGTGTAAAAGAGACAGAGAGAGAGAGAAATACGGTGACAATGATTGAGGAGAGAAAAGCAATAGTAAAGTACTGCTGATCGACCAGTGCTGAGGTAAATAAAAGGAACCAACCAGCGGGGGAAGAAGAGGAGGATATGACGATGACGGCGCACCGACGTGAGGGGATCAACCCAAGGTTGACTGGAGGGTTCGTCGTGCTCTTCTTCGTGTTAAGCAAACGGTAGAGAACTTTAAGCGCGGAGCCTAGTTGATATTGCCAACCGATCACTCGCTCCGCAACGTTTCCTGCGGTGTCACCCTGTGCAGGTCTTGTCCAGACCGTTCTTTTGCGAGTTGGAGAGTTGGAGAGGAAGAAGTTTGGGGGGGAGGGAAGTTGCAAAGGCGGCTTTCTCTTCCGGCTTCACTTGTATCGGATGTCACAGTTCCAGTCCTCCACAGGGAAAGAAATTGGATAGAAAATAGAAGCAAAAGAAAAAAGAAATAAACAATTTTTCTACTCTGATTGAGAATCTACTGCATATTTATTTTTTCTTTTTTTATGCATCCATTGTCAGTCAGGTGGATCTCCTTTTTCTTTTTCTTTTTCTTTTTTTTTTTTTAATCAACCAAAGAAAACTTTAAGCGGTCGGGTACGTGGAAGGAGTGGGACTTTGCAAATATCCCCAGACGATCATTACGTTTCAAAGTCAATATTGGCTTTGCCTGCAGGAAATACGAACACTGGGTGTCTATCTAGCTGTACAGGTCCAGGATCCCCCCCCCCCCCCCCAAATATATCAATCAGCTCATTTCCTCATCCTCATCTTCGTCTTCATCATCGCTGCCAAAGATCGCCTTGAATACCGCCTCGCCCGGCCGCTCCGCTTCTAATGCTTCGTTTCGCTCTGGCTCGACCACCACCGGTGCCCGACTTCCCGCTGGCCCTAATGACGTCGGCGAGGCCGCGTCTGCAGCTGCCAGAGATCCACCGCCAGCCTCAAGCATGAGTTGGTTCATAACATCCCGCGAAACTAACTCTTTCGGCCCGGAAGCGGTCTGGTAACCTGCCGATTGGAACCGGCTCCCGGAGACGGGGGCTTCAGCGCGTCCCGATGGCGCACCAGGATCCATTTGGACATGCTCGGGGGGCCGAACATTGAATCGCTTGCACAAGAGACGCGTCGGGTAGAAAGAGATGCTACTTCGAGTCATTGGGCCAAACATGCCAATTTTCGCTGCCTCCACTGCAGGGTCCTCTGGTTTGGCTGCGGGCTTGCTAAGCAGAGGCTCCGCCGAAGGAGACCCGTCAGACTTGTCGGATGACTCTTTGGGTCCAGAACTGGCAGAGGTGAATCGCGATGCCATGAGTCCAGACATGGGCTTAAAGACCTCCGCCGCTCGCGCAAATTCGTGTAGTTCCGCTGCCCATTCATCTGTAGTTGATCCGGGGACCCGGTCCGGAAGGCTGTCACGGAGTCCAGCTCGTACTTGGAGAAATGTTCGATAGCGGTCCCGTTTGCTTAGATCTTCTGCATACGGCATCCAACCACTGGCTGCTCGTGTGAGTGCCTGAACGGCTACCTGCTTATCCAATTTGGGTACGAGATCCCACAGATCCTTGCGCTTCTCCGCCTCTGAGAGCTCGTAGCCTTTAGGGGCCTTTTCACCAAGAGCCGGCGGCAGATCGGTCTTTCCCGTAAGCTTCACGATCCTTTCCCGAGCCTCAGGAGTCATCCAATCGAATATGGACTTTCCGGGAAGTTGTGCTTCTCCCAAGAGCGCGGCTCTTGCAGTAGGATCCATTGACGAAGCTTTAGCTGCCTCCGCCGTAGAAACGTAGTTTGAGACATCCCTTTCCTGTGTCGGTGCTTTGCTGGATTTCCAATCCTTGGGGATCTCCGGTGGCGCATACTTCTTCTCTTGCGAGGATATTGAGAGGCTTGAAATGCCATTTGCGAGCAAGAATCCTTCCAGAGGCAAACGGCCATCAGAACACTTTCGGAAACCGGCGGCGCCCTTGGCGGCAATGACCCTTTTCGGTATATATACAGGTTTGCTGCCAACAAGCGGGTTTGACGAACTGGAGAGTAGTCTCGCATCCTCGGCAGGTTTTGCTTTCTTTTTCTTCTTCTTGTCCCCTCCGATCACTCGGTTGTAAGATATCTGTGGGCCTAAGGAATAAGGATCCTCATCATCCGAGCCAGTATCATTCAGCACACCGACGCCAAACGCCCCGCGTCGTGGTTCTTTCGCCTTGGGCTGCTTCGGCTTCCCCGGAGCCATTAGCCGCTTTCCGAAGAACGAATCATTATCCTCGTCGTCAGACTCGTTCGCTTTGGTTTGCCGAGCGTCTAGGCGGGCCTCTCCTTCGAATCCAAGGCCCTTATGATCGGTCTTATGGATGAAAGCAACCATTGGCGGGTTTTCGGGCGCGAAGAGGTATGTTTGTTCGGCTCCTCCATCACGTTGCAACATACCGTCCCCGAGGTCAGCTCTACGCCGCACCTTGGGCCCAATTCCCTGGCCTTCTCGCCATCCCATCCTCTTCAAGAGTTTCACCCCCATTGTTTCTCCGCTCGTTTTCAGGAGGTCCATCAACCCTCCCCGGCGCGCCAATTCGGCATCTGTAGAACCAAATCCGGAGTACTCATCGGCGGTTTGCAGTCTCTTGGACTCTTCCGCTTCCCGAACATCCTCCTCATCCATAAAATCTTCTGGTCGCTGCTGTCGAACATCCTTGGCGCGGTTCTGGCGCGAAGACACAAAGGTTGCTGGAGTCCATCCTTCCTTCGACCCGACGGTGTTGAAGTACCTGAAGATGGGCCACCTTTAGTGTGCTGTCCAACGATATACATGGATCGTGAGCTCACCCGGCACTGAATCCACCGGTGAAGGCACCATGTAGGCGTTTCCTTCCCCGGTCATCGGTTACCTCCTGCTTCCAGATGGGCGCATATGATCCGTCGTCTCGCACGCTATCGTCCAATGGGGGCAATGGGGTTCCGTATAACGCGTAAGGAGACTGGCGCGCCTGCAAGTCTGCCTCGAAGGCGGCGCGGCTCCTTTTACTGGCCATGATGAAGGTGCAGCTCAAGGGTGCAGCATGGCTGTTTCTGACGTCGACATATCATCAGTGTCTGTATTGTAGATCCCTACGTGGATGAAGTGGTCTTACCACTACTTGTATATTTGGTTATCCACCTGGTGAGTGAACGAATGGAAGAGCACTAGAACGGTGACCTGGAAGGAAGCGGAAACAAGCAGACACTGATGATGATGAACGGTGCATGACAAGAGGCCGCGGGCGGAAGACATGTGACAAGGCGGACATGGAAAAGGCGCGTGCACCGCCACATTTCTATGTGGCTGGAAACAGTAACTGCAGCAGTACCTCAAAAGTACTAAGTACCTTTAAGCACCTGGCCGGATTAAATGTTTATGTGTATCACACTCTCTTCCTTCATTGTTGTGGATCATGAGATGTGTCAACAGATCTGGGGGAGATGATATTATTTCAGGCTACGTGTGTTGGTCTTGTTCAGTTGGACAATTAATTGATAGTAGTATTTGAAGAGACCCCAACAATATATATTGTTAGTGCTACGGGGGGGGGGTACTACTACGTACCGTCTAAGTAAGTTACTACTAAGTCTGGCTGTTCTCGGATTAACCGCGAGACTGAGAGTGATGGGCCACGGGGGCGGATGACAGATCCAACATCAGCATCCGAAAACAGAACGAGGGCATATGATGTCCACTTCTGCGACCGAACGTGCTTGGCAGATTAATCTGGACTCATCCGACCAACTTAATTTGGACCGTCCAGCAGGTTGAAATTGTCAGGACCCAGAAATGATGGTGATGATGATGAGTCCCTCGGCCAGGTGATCATGCCCATCCGTGCCCAAAACACCGAAAGTCCGACGTATCAAATGGTCTCGTTCCACCGGCGGTCGGAGGAGAAGCAGTTGTCAGGGTTCATGATCCGACCTGTAGGGGTGAGGTGAGATTGATGGAGAGGGGAAAGGACTATGGAACCAGACTATTGCCTGGGAGGCAACCACCTATGTGATTCAATATAGTAATATAGTAATCTCGGATTGAGAACGTGCATGCAGCTCTCTAATTTCTACCGGGAGGAGAAGGGGGAAAGAAGCAGACAGGAATGGAATCCCCGTCGATAGAGAAAATGAAGGGAAAGAAAGAGTAAGTAAGAGGAACAGGACAAGAAGTAAGGTAACGATAAATATTTTTGTTTTTCAGCTGAAGATGAGTGGATGGAAATTGCAGTTTCCATTTCCCCTGCGTAACTCGATGCAATCGCCCTGGTGATTCCGCCAGAATCCATGCAGCAGCAAGCAAAATACGAGAGAAGGTCGCATGGGCATCATTTCCTCACCCTCCCGCTCTTGACTCTCACGGACGGACTCTCACCCTCCTCCTCCTCCTCCTCCTCCTTCTACTCCTCTTTCCCATTCTCTCTCTTTAATCATCTACTCTACTCTCCAATCCTCCATTCACTCTTCAACCTGAAGAAGAAGTACGTCCTGCATTTTTATTTTTAAATAAATAAGCAAGCCAAGCAAGACCCTTCATTTCCCTTCACACATTCTTGGCCTAGCAGAGTGCAGCGGAGATCAGAGACATTATTCGGGATATCCCCTCTTTTCTAGTGTGTCTTCCGGGAACTGCTATTCCTGGCTGATTCCTGGCTGGGCTTGTCCGGTCCTGGTCTGGTCTGGTTTCTGGCTTTCTCCGCAGCTGCCAGCCGCAATCCCAGCGTCAATCCAACAAACACTCAGTACTCAGTACTAAGTAGTAGTAGTACTAGTAGTACTACACCCAGTCCGTTCCCACATTTCTCTTGTCTTGTCTCTTTCTTGCATTTCGCAAACTCCCCTTGTCCATTTATCCATTTCCTTATTTTCCTTCCCCCCGCCCCTTTCACTCTTTTTTTTTTTTTTTTTTTTCTTATTACTTACTCACTCTATTGTGGGTGGTATCTATTCACTCCTTTCTCCTATTTCCCTCCCCCCATCAGCTCCGCTAGTAGTGGTGCCCCGTCCCTTCTACTACTACTACTACTACTACTACTACTACTACTACTACTACTACTACTACTCCTCCTCTCCTCACAGCAACCCACATCTCACCCCCCCCTAATTTCTAGACCTTCCGAAAATACATGGGGGAGGAGTGTGTCAAGCCGTTTCGCTGGAGATTGGACGTACCCACGCAGGCTGTCGCTTCCCTCAAAGTTGCTCCGTCAGCCAACGCCATCTCCCCCACTCGCTCCCACTTGCTCCCCGACCGGTCTTCTGGCCTCCCTTTGGGCTGCATCCCGCCCTCACGCGAAACCCTCCCCTCGATCACCAAGCGATCTTAGGGTGGATGAAGCGCGCTGAATCGTGGTTGGCTCGGAACTCCTCGTCAATTTCGTGCCCATCG